CCCCCAACCCTTTTGGTTTTCTTTTCCGATCATTTCTTTTCTCTGTGCAAATGAGTGTCTGTGATCCTGACCCCAGCGCCCAACGCCGCGCCGGAGCRGGAAAGCGCTGCGCCGACTTTTTCCCACGTTGAGTCTCTGGCAGAAAAAGGCTGGATATCTCCAGCTTATCTCTCTCCCTAACCTAGCCTCTGCGCGATTAGACCGCGGGTTTGGGGCGATCTAATCGCGCAGGAGGCCGGGTTTATCCTGTAAAGATGCTCTTAAAAATCCGAGAGAGATTTTAAACAGCGAGGACTGCCTTGAGCTGGCTCCCCGCAAACACCGCTCCCCTCCGCCGGCACCTTTGGGCGCTGCGGCGCGGGACTCCGGGCAAAGTGAGACCCTTTCATCTCTCCGCTTTGTGTCTGTTTTTTTTTGTTTTTTTGTTTTTTTTTGGGGTTTTTTTTTTTTTTTTACATTATGTTAACTCGGGATGGATATTTGAAGCGCAGGATTCCTATTGAACATGTCTTTGCTTTAAGTTTTCCCCCTGACCCTTGGGCTAAAGTCCTTGGTTGCTCAATTAAACCCAGATGAGAACAATTAATAACTAAGTAATGACAATAAGTTGGGAATCACACGGATGAACGCTCCATGTGAATAGGAAAAGCTCACACAAAAGAGCAAAAAGGATTTGTCGGCTCTTTTTAAGGGGGAATTGGCTTTTCTTTTTTCTTGCCTCTGGCTTACCAGCAAATAAAACTCACTTTTGTGTCTTTGTCGCCTTAAGGATCTCAGTGGGCAGTTGGAAGTGAGAATGGCTGTTTTCCTTTCAACTTGAGGGTGCTGGCGCCACGCAGCCCCAAGGATAGAGAGTAGCCAAAGCAAAGTTTCCTAATAACTCCCCTCTCCCCCGCCACCCCTCCCCAGTCACGCCGGTACCCYCCTCCTCTCCATGCATATCTCCACACGCACTCTTAGAGAGCCTCGGCAGACAGACGAGAGAAAGCAGAGGGGCCCCGAGCACATCCCCGTACCAGCACGGACTCAGCCGAGGCTGACTGTGCCGTGGGAAAGCGACAGCGCCTTGGTGCGACACTTTCCACGGAGCGTAGGAAATACAGCTCACAGTAGCCAGAGCACTGAGAGGGAGCAAACACGAGCAGAAACACATACAAAATGCAAGAGGAGCCATTTTTCTACTCTTRTTGCCACAAAGGAGGGGAGCGGCTCCGTTACCCGTACACAGGGGCAGTCCCCGGGCGCATCTCCCGGCACCGGCTCCGTGCAAGATCGGGAGCCTCGGCTGGGAACGCGGCGGGATCGCGCCCGGCTCCGGCTGTGGCAGAGGGACAGTGACACACAGCGCGGGCTGAGGGCTTAAAAAGCAAGGAAAGGCTCTCCTTCAGTTTTAGCTCACAGAAGGTGGCTGCCGGGCAAACCTACTGCGCGAATCGTTGGTTAAACCGTGCGTTTGTCGCCTGCTCTGAATTTCTCGTGGTTTTGGGGTTTCTTTCTGAATTCTCTCTTTCGCTCGAAACACCAGTCGGTGCCCCGTTGAATGCTTCCTCGAACGTTTACCGTAATGCTCAAGCAAATTGGGAGCTTAAAAGCTTACTGTCCAAAGTTAGGGCAGGCTAAATTCAGCGAGTTAGGCGCAGCAGCAACCTCCTGCTGCTCAGGATTGTGCCTGAGAACACAACCTTAAGAAATCAGAGGCAAAATAGGGAAGCTGCCTGACTTACCCATTGTAAAGGCCAGGGGAAGGGGAGGGGGGTGAGTGCTTCTCAGTAGCGCTCATAAGCTTAAATCGAGGCTCATAATTTTGAATGAATCTCCCGAATCATATCAGACCTTCTTCCTCAAAATCTGGGAACTGGAACATTTGTTGAACAAACTGGCTGGTCACCTTCAGGAGGAAGTGGGATAGTTGGCACTAACTCCTTGATACTGCCTGAATTTGGGTAAAGAGCTGAACTCAGGTATTCTGTATGCAAAGTGAAAATATCAGTCACCAGCTTATTCAAGACTCAGAGGTAATTGCTTTTTATCTCTTGCAATGATACATTTGATTTTATATTAGACGAGGAGATGGCCAGAGAGAGAAAGAAAAAGCAGCTGCATTATCAGCCTTGAGACCAGGACACTCCTCAGAACAGCCATGGGGCCGTTCAAATTAAACCCAGCAGAGTGGTGACTGGTGAGTTAGTCTCGCACTGCTTGGGGTATAATATCCTGTGCCCARTGAGCTCCTGGATGCAATGAGGTAGTTCACTCTCTCTACTTCTTCATAAAAAACAGGCTGATATGACTTTTGAACTATGAGTCCGTGGCGGAGACACCTTCCTGCCTTTCATAGTGCTGGCACACTGGCACTCTATCTATCTATCTATCTATCTATCTATCTATCTATCTATCTATCTATCTATCTATCTATCTATCTATCATCTATCTATCTATCTATCTATCTATCTATCTATCTATCTATCTATCTATCTATCTATCTATCTATCTATCTATCTATCTATCTATCTATCTATCTATCTATCTATCTATCTATCTATCTATCTATCATCTATCCCAGCATATTCATCTGTAGTAGAATATGTATATTCTTACCCAAGGAGTATGTGGACCTCTGAAATTTCCTTTTATTAACTTTTAACTCTCCACTCCTTCTGTGAAGCACAGCGGTGTCTGTCCCTGGCCTGAGCAATCTGTTCCGCAGCAGGGAGCCTAAAAATGAGGCAATGCGATAATGGGCATTGCAACACAGCTCCTCGGGGCTGGCCCGAGGCCCCTTCTGCAACACGGACCCATTGTCTGTCCARCTCTGCGGCAGGAGAAGCTGGAGGCAGAACCAGAAGCAACAGCTCTGACTCATTTAAGTACGAGCTGTAAATGGTAACATGCTGCACAGAGAGATGTGGTAGTGATTTGCTTACAGCAGTAAACCGATTGACATTAACTCTGCTCCATTGTACTTCTTCATCTCAGAGATCTTTTATCCCTCCAGGCTGGATCCGGTTCCCACCCTGCAGTGATTAAAGGGAAAGCGGGGAGGCAGCTACCTGGACCCAGTCTCCCTCGTGCGACCAGGAATGTGCAATAAACCCCCCGTGCAAAGCTCTCCTTTTTATCTGGGGAAGTGGCTCAGCTGAGGATTCCACTGCTCACGGAGCCAAACTTCTCCGGGACCGGAGTGCCCGGGCACAGCTCACCCGTGCGCGGCTGCCCGGAGTCCTCTCGGCCGCAGACAATTCTCACGACGGTGTGAACAGCCCTCTTTGCATTTCTTCTTGCTCAGACCGCTAGAAGAGAAAAAATCTCTTGCACATGTCCTACAGCCATCTAAGCTTACCCACTTCAATAGCACAGGCCTTGCTAGT